TCTATTTATTTAACTCTCCCAGCGGCGCCGGCTCCCTCAAGCCTCGTTCACTTGACCTCTCCTCACTCGACCTCTCTCACACTGTAGTCCCTCCTTTGACCTGTCCTTGACCTCTCACTCTTGTTCGCCGCGTCCCAATCACTCACCTCTCTCCTCCCCCCTCTCCTCTCCTCTCCTGTATCCACCTCCCTTTCTCACATCGCGCATCTCACCTCCGCCTTGCTCCACTTCATCTGAAAGCCCATTCCACAGTAATCATAATTATTATTTTAAAATCCTAACCCCCTGCCGTGCACGGCGGCTGTGTGCCTTGGTCGCGCTGGCGGTAGCTATCGAGTGGCCCACGCATTGTGTCCTTTGTACTCGGGGCACACACCAACAACGTAACGCCACTTGTTCCCCTGTGCGCCGTGTCTCCGTGTGCTGCGTCTATTCTCTCTCCCTGTGCTGTCTGCTCCCTCTCTCTCTCTCCGTGTGCTGTCTACTGCTCTCTCTCTCCATGTGCTGTCTGCTGCTCTCTCTCTGTCTCTCCGTGTCCGCTGTGTGACTTGCAACCAGAATCATCCCCCAATGTTCACAACCTCGTCCTGAAGCTAAGCAGGACTGAGCCTGGCTAATACTACGCGGATGGGAGGCAGCCTCGGAATACAGGATCCTGTACGCGCGGGCTGCGAGGTGGCCCAGAGTTGGCACGACAAAACACGCATCCATCTGTGCGGCGTTTTGTGTCACCACCTCGTGTGTGTTTCAAAGGCAAAAATGCCCCGTATCGCTTTAGCAGACTGTTGGGGCAAGTGCTGTTAGCGAGCACCTATGAAGGCCGGAAGGGCACACGAGGAGGCTAACACCACACCCAGTCGCCTTTGTCTCCCCAGTGCTGATGTTTATTCACCGCACCAGCTAAGGCCCAAAACCAGTACTTAATTTGGAGCTTTCATGACTGCAGGAATTACTCTTTGGTTCTTTCGGTAAAGTCACGTATCAAGAGAAAAGAATAAATTAAATACTAGCATGCGACGTTTCGATTGCAACACAAACAATCGTCATCAGGTATAAATGAAATAGAAACACAAATCTAGTATACTTAGAAATGTAATGTAATACAACAGAGAGTCGGATAACATAACAGTCAACACCGTACCTGGTTGATGATGTTCTTCCTGAGAATGCTAAATTTGAGAGAGAGATCAAACACAGAACCAGAGACATATAGACAGACATATAAGTAGAGACAGATATCACAGAGATACATAGAGAGAGAGAGAGAGACGTACATAGGCACACAGAGAAACCCAAGACCAGGTTCAGATATTCACCACTGGCATTGTTCGTGAGTGGGAATCGAACTCGTGTGGCCTGGTCCGTGGAATTGACCAAACATACCGTTGCAGGCAGGGCCCTCCCGTATCATGGTCTTGAGACTCGGTGAGGCTTCTGGTAAATACACATAAATACATGAAGTGTCGGTATCGTTAGCCGCACGAGCAAAACCGTATTTAAGAATGTCTCCTCTCTCTGCCCCCCATCGACCTCACGCGCACTTTCAATCATATTCATGGGCAGTCCGCTGCCGCTTTGTGGGTCTATAAAAAATGTGTTCGACTTCACTCGCTGGAAATTGATGCAGTGATCCCGAGCTCCCTCCCACAAACAACCACAAACCCGGTCCTCCAATAAATATATTTATTTATAACTGAATAAATAAGCGAGGGGTCACAATTGTTATTATAATAGCCGTGTGTCTGCGTGTGCCGCCTCAAGGTGTGGCGCTTTGGCATAGTGCCGTTCTCCCACCCCCCCGCCTCTGCCACCTCCCCTCGCCCCCCCGCGTCTCTCTGAGCTTGCCGTTGCTGGGAGGAGGTGGGGTGGGTGTCGTGGGGCAGGACAGGCCGGCGCGGTGAGCAGTGTAGCGTCCGACAGACGCTCCCCCAGGACCCCGCTGGGGGAACTCTGGGCCACGCATGCTGCACTCATTAAAGTGGCCAACGCGGTGCAGGGGGGGGGGGTGACTCTGCACCCCCCCCAACCAACCCCACCACGCCTCGCTACCCCATTGCTCGTACACGCAGGCAGTCGTAGCCTTCGTAGGCTGCTGGGGCAAGTGATGTTAGCGGGCGCCTATGAAGGCCGCCACCGCAAAAACAAATATCTCCCGTATCGCCTTCACAGACTGGGGCAAGCGCTGTTAGCGAGCACCTAATGAATGGCGGCACGGCACACGAGGGGTGGGTGGCCAGCACCACGCCCAACCGCCTTTGTCTTCCCGGTGGGGATACTTACACACCGCGCCAAGTACTACTTTTAGGCCGAGTCGACCTAAGGGAGACCCACGACCGGTTCAGATCGAACTCGGGTGGCCGGCTTCGTAGCGCAGCGCGCTAACCGCTGCGCCACCGATCCCCACTGCGCACGCGCTCCCACGCTCATCGCAAAGGGGGTGCGTGACGCGGCTCAACGATAGTGTGTTCACCGCTTGTTGCTGCAAAAGGTTCACGGTTCGAATGAAGTGGCCGCCCTGATTATTACCGCGGTGTGGTGACGTCATTCGCCAGAGTATTCCACTGTGTGCTGGCAAAAACACGTTTCAAATTTGTCACATTTTAAAGATTGACTGCAATGTACTCGATTGGCATTACGCACAGGGCAAGTATTGTCCCCGACTGTGGAAACAGGGTCAGGACCCTGCTGAGAAGGAGTCACGATACTCGAGCACACAGAGTGGCGCGGTGGTGCTAACACTTTTGCGCATCGCAGCAAAAATCACCTGGATTCGAGTCCTGTTCTCTGGTGCCTTTGCTTTGCACGGGTTTACTCTGACAACTTAAACAAAACAACGTAACTGGCGTCGGTCAAATAACATCGAAAATTCTGAAGAATAACAAGCACTTTACTCGATTGGGATTACGCACAGAAGCATCGCTCCTCCTGCAAAAGCGTGACAGGAATCTCTCGACAAAGGGCGCCGTGGTGGCGAGATGTTAACTACCTCGCCTGATATACAGGAAGTCGTGGTTTCGATCCCGACCATGAAGCCTGTATATTTCGAGTTTGCGTGTCTCTCTCCCTGTGCGTTTCGAGTATTTGGCTGCTATAAATGTCCACGTGATAAGCTATTTCGTTGAGCTGGTGAAATAAAAAAATAGTTAAATTAATAGTTTTAAGAATCTCGAGACTCGATGAGGCTCGATGAGGATTTCCTGGTCCTTCGGATTCCTGCTACAGCTAAGCACAAAAACAAAGACAAAGATCCCCGTATAGCCTTAACAGACTGTAGGGGCAAGTGCTGCTAGCGAGCACCTATGAAGGTCGGAACTGTACACGAGGGGGTGGGTGGCCACCACCACGCCCGACCACCTTTGTCTCCCCAGTGGCGATGTTCACCACACACCGCACCAGGTACTCATTTCAGGCTGAGTCGAACTAGGGGAGGCCCAGGACCGGTTCAGATAATCGTCACTGGTGTTGGCCGTGAGCGGGAATCGAACCCGGGTCGCCAGGTTCGTAGCGCAGCGCCCTAACCACTACACTACCGCTCCCCATAAGTGGCGTCGTGCCGAACATCATCCCAATGAGGCAGGGGCCCTCCTGAAAAATAGTCGTTGGGACTTGGTGTGGCTTTCCTGGGTAAATCACGAATAATTATGACAACACACACACGCGCGAACTGGGCTCATGGTGAGCGGCGCGGGTCGTGTCCGCGATCGGCGCCCAATGATTCACGAGAATTGTCCAGGCCATCAAAGCTGAACTGGGGCTTTGAAGGGAAAATGAAAACGAACATTTTTGAAGATTGCCGACTTTCAAGTGAGGCACGACGCGAGAGAGCAGTGCCCGCGTGGGGCGCACAGCTTCCCCCCCTCCCCTCCCTCCGCGCATTGCCCGCCCCCCCGTGATCCTAACGCAGGGGCTCCCCGATCCAGATACATATATATACACATATATATTGGTAGGAACCTCTTGGTTACACCAGCCCACAGGGGATGATTGTGTCCGTCCGTCCGTCGTGCAGGGAAGGGCTGGGTGTGGAGGGAGGGAGGGGCTGGGTGGGGAGGGGCTGGGTGGGGAGGGTGGGGCTGGCTGGGGCTGGGTGGGGGGTGGGAGGAAAGGGGCTGGGTAGGGAGGGGCTGGTCACGCCGTGGTGCCCTTATAAAACTCAACGTTCAACCTACTCACGCCGGCTTGTGCCCGCCCTCACAGTCGGGCATATTTGCGGAATACACCACGCCGCCGTTGACCCTGACCATTGACCGAGCAAACCAACGTTCCTACCAGCTCCCTCCGCAGGAATGTGTTATATATCATGGGACCTCCTTTGCTAGTACCAAAATATGAGATAAGCTTTCCCCTTTTGGCGTCTTGTGGTCTAACACCGTTTGAGACTCGGCTCCAAAGAAAGCTGTCTCTGGTGTGGACCAAACAGTTTCAAGGACAATGCATATATTATCAGAGTGTGTTTTTTGTTTGCATTCTGACCACAAGTATTGTGGTGAGATGCAGACATGATTAAATGTTAAATGTTTCAGTTTGGTGTTTTACACACATATATTTTCAGGGTTTGCTGACCCGGTTTAGACCCGGCGGCTAAAACGAAGCACAGGGTCGCGTGTGGCGTTGTGACGTGTGGGTGAAGTGTGGGTGAAGTGGGTGAACTGTGGGTGAGGTGTGGGTGAGGTGGGTGAAGTGTTAGTGAAGTGGGTGAGGTGTGGGTGAACTGTGGATGAACTGTGGGTGAAGTGTGGATGAAGTGTGGGTGAACTGTGGGCACCCCCACCTCATCACGCCTGCCCAGCGTGGAAGAGCAGGCCAACACACCGGCTCCCCCTGGGGACGGGGGGGTGGCGAGGGCTCTCCGACGCAGCTGGCGCGAGACGAACCCGACGCGGTTCGGATTCCTCCCTTCGCGAACCGAGCGCCGCTCGAATAACGAAGTGGGTGGGGAGGGAGGGGCCGCGATCGATGCCGCGTTGTTTTGATCAGCGCTGCGCCTTGCGCTCTCTCAGCAGAGATCGACCGAGTTCAGAACGGCGCTGCGGCTGCTGTGGCTGCGGCCGCTGCTGTAATCACCACCGCCGCCGCCACCACCGCCACCACTGCCATGCCGCCGGTGGCAGCGGCACCGGCGGGGGACGAAGATCGACGCTACCGAGACGTCGTCAGCAACCAGAACATGAAGCTGTGCGAAAAGGTGCTCATCCCGGTCAAGCAGCACCCTAAGGTACGAGGGACGACGGCGCCAGACGGGGCAGCGGCGACGCACAAACAGCAGCAGCAGCAGCAGCAGCAGCTTCTGGCGCTGTTGGGTGGCTAGCAGTGGATAGAACACGGAGCGTCGGCTTCTCTGCCGCTGTTTTCATTCGTGATTTACTGTACCGTACATGAAAACTGTATTGGATGTTACGTCCGGCTTTTGATTGTCATATTCTTAGGTTTTTTCGGTAAAGACACGTAGGTAAAAAATGACAATTAAAATGAACAAAAGTAAATTAAAAATATTAATTTAAATTAAAAAAAATTACCTATGTGGTTTTACCGAAAAAACCTAAGAATATGAATCCTTTCAGTCACGAAAGCTTCAAATCTAGAATTTTGATTGTCAGTCTGTGAGTCTCTATTTGAGTCCGTGCCTGCGTGTAAGTCTCTGGATGTGTATGTGAATCTATGGGTCTATGCATGCGTCTATGGGTCTCAATGTGCATCTACGGATCGATGTGTGAACTCTACGGGTCGATATGAGTCTGTGGGTCTCTGTAGTTCTATTGATCTCCATGCTCACTCTTTGTTGTCCCAGCGTTTCAATCTTCGTCTCGATGAAGATAGACATCCACGGTATAGACGTCAGTAGCAAGTGCTGTTAGCGAGTAACACCTATGAAGGTTAGCACGGCACACGAGGGGGTGGGTGGCCAGCACCACGCCCGACCGCCTTTGTCTCCCCATTGGCGGTATTTACAGACCGTGCCAGGTACTCATGTGACGTTGAGTCGACTTAGGGGAGGCCCCAGGACCAATTCAGATATTCGTCACTGGTGTTGGCTGCGCAGTGCGCTAACCGCTACACTACCGCTCCCCACGACCATGGTCATTGCACACACACACATCTAATAGTAACCATTTGACAATCCACTGCTGGATGAATCACGTGGAGATGTTTGACCATACTTCGCCACGCTGGTCATGTGCGGGTTGGTGGTGCCGGGATAAGTCCAGGCAGGACCCGTTCCGACATTAATTGCCAGTGCCCTTTTTCACCACGGCTAAGAATTGCACTCGGGGGTCGCAGGTTTCGAAAGCGCAGCGCGCGAACCGCTGCGCTACCGCTCCCCCTCCCCCCACGCACGCGCACGCACGCGCAACCTGCTGCGTCACCGATGGCCACGCGCGTGCCAGCGCTGCCCTGCGGTGCGCGTCCACGCGTCGATCATATCGCCCCCACCTGCTCCCCCCCCCCATCTGCTTCCCCCCCCCCACCCGCTTCCCCTACCCCACCTGCTTCCCCCCCCCCACCTGCTTCCCCCACCCCACCTGCTTCCCCCCCCCCCCACCTGCTTCGCCCCCATAACCTGCTTCCCCTACCCCCCCGACACTCACGTGGGAATTATCCGAAGAGACCGCTTTCCCTGCCACCAGTACAAAACGTTGATGGCGTTGAGTCAAACATCCAAATGTAGGATCACAGAGCGTGGACAATTGTCGGCCCCAGTTCCGGCTGCCCTTCCCGCTTCTCTGTGGTTTCCCTCGCCTCTCAATCCACCTTTTTTTCTCTCGCTCTCTATCTGGGAGTGGATGGAAACTGTGTGCGATACAAATGAATACTTCAAATATCTCCGCGGTTGCAGAAGAGGGGAGAACCACTTGTAAACTCATCGTGTTGAGTGGCGCATTATTATTTCTACTGCTACTGTTACACAACTGTTCAACGCTGGGGCTGCTATCATGAGACCTTTGTTTGCCAACATTGAAGTATGAAAAATATGGTTTTACCCTTTCTGGCAATTGAACATGTGTTAACATGTTCAAACACCAAAAAGACACCTTTCGCAAGGAATCAAGTCTGCATTAGCCACACGCACTTGTGGTGAACATGCAAACAAACACGCTGTGATAATATATGACAATTGACTTTGAAACTGATTGTCCTACACTACAGACAACCTTTTTCATGGCCCAGTCTCACCGGTGTCAGAAGAGTACAAAGCCAACGCGCGTATCAGAGCATTTATAGCTCGGGGTCGAGCACCTACATCATGGGATGCCTTTTACTGGTAGGAACCTCCTGGTTACACCAGCCCACAGAGGATTATTGTGTCCGTCCGTCCGTCGTGCATCCAAAAATGGGAGGGGTATGGCTGGGTGGAGAGGGGAGGATGGGGAGGGGCTCGGTGGGGAGGGTGGGGAGGGGCTGGGTGGGGTGGGGAGGGTGGGGAGGGGCTGGGTGGGGAGGGGAGGGGAGGGTGGGGAGGGGCTGGGTGGGGGGGCTGGTCACCCCGTGGTGCCCTTATAAAATTCAACGTTTAACCTACTCACGCCAGCTTGTGCCCGCCCTCACAGTCGGCCATATTTGTGGAATACACCACGCCGCCGTTGACCCTGGCCATTGACCGAGCAACCCAACGTTCCTACCAGCTCCCTCCGCAGGACAATGTGTTATCGTGTGCCAGTACTGGGGCTAGGACTGTAATGGCCCATGGGGAAAGACTCAAGAGGTCACCGGGGACAGCTGCCACCCGCTGGTAAGAGGGAACGATCGTGAAGAGAACCTGGACGGGGTGAGAGCAGCCGAGACTGAGCACCCAGTCACGAGCTGGAGGGGGTTGTGCGACGCGGATGACGCCACGTTGGGAGGGCGCCAGGAGCTGGGTTGATTTTATTTTTCATGTTTTATTTATTGACGTTATTATTATGTATTTATTTTCGAGCCTCTCGCGTTGTAATTTCGAAGGTGCTAATTAATCACAGCCGTCATCGTGATTGCGCTGCACTCGTCAGCTGGGCGGGTGGGGTGGGTGTGAGTCATGCGATGCCGTGATGATGATGATGATGCAGCGGGCGATGTTTGCGTCTGTGGCGTACGGCGGTGGCGACACTTGGGGCGCAAATCGCCAAACTGAGAACAACCTCAGGTCCCCAAGTAGCTCACGGTGGGGAGGGGGGGGGGGCAGGGGGAGGGGGGGCTGAGCACAAGCTCAGGTCCCCAAGTAGCTCACGGTGAAAGGGAGGGGGGGGGGGCTCCGGATTATTCATGAACAACAATAACATACGGGTGCAAACAACAACCAGCTTGAATTCAGATCCTCGTATCTTACCTTGTATAACACAACAATTGTTTACAATTATAAATTCGTGCGTAAGCTCATAGTGATTGAAATTCTTTAAAAATTGGGTTATTCAAAGTGGTGGTGTGGTCATGGTGACAGGACAGGTGGGAGTGGTTAAGGAGGGATTGGGATATGGGTGGTGATAGGAGTCGTGGTAGGGATTGGGACAGTGATAGGAGTAGTTATAGGGGGTTGTGACAGGGATAGGAGTAGTGATAGGAGTAGTGATAGGAGTAGTGATAGGAGTAGTGATAGGGGTTGTGATAGGGGTAGTGATAGGGGTTGTGATAGGGGTAGTGATACGGGTTGTGATAGGAGTAGTGATAGGGGTAGTGATACGGGTTGTGATAGGGGTAGTGATAGGGGTTGTGATAGGGGTAGTGATAGGAGTAGTGATAGGACTAGTGATACGGGTTGTGATAGGGGTAGTGATAGGGGTAGTGATAGGGGTTGTGATAGGAGTAGTGATAGGGGTAGTGATAGGGGTTGTGATAGGGGTAGTGATAGGAGTAGTGATACGGGTTGTGATAGGGGTTGTGATAGGGGTAGTGACACGCCCCTCGAGGGCTGCCATCACCGCTGCCGGGATGGTGGCCACCGCAGACGCGGTCATTATCGAAACCCCCCGAGTTCGCCTCGATTCTCTGCGCGGTGGCAACCGCTCGCCGCGGGCGATCAGAGCTGGCTCGCGACGCTTATACCCCACCACCCCGCACACCCCGCCACCCACACAACACACACACAACACACACACAACACACACACAACACACACACAACCCACACACAACACACACACAACACACACACAACCTTCACGCGCGAGCTTTGATATGGGTTTGATTAGAACAGATAAAACACGCCGGTGCTGTCGGTCCAGTGGACGGCAAAGACAAGACAAAGATTCTCCCAAACCCCCACCACCTTTATAGCCTCAACCAGGCTGTTGGGGCAAGTGCTGTTTGCGAGCACCTGTAAAGGCAGGCAGGCACGCATGAACGCACACGCGCGCCGCTCTCTCCTCCCCGCTGCAGATGAACGCGAGGATGGGGGGAGGCTGCCCACTGCGGGATTTGCAATCATTTCTCGGTTTCAATCTCGTGCTTTTTGGCAAGATGATGTAACAAACAAACAAAAAGGATATTGGCTCGCGTATAAGACTCGTCACCTCCGAGGGGATTTTGCCAGGGCAAATCCATGGAATTAAATTGATTGTTTCCTTTTTTTGTAATCTAATTCGCACACCGGTAGATGTTCTGAACAAAAGGCAAAGATTCACCCCCACCCACCAACCAACCCACCCACCACTCCGTGTAGCCTCATCAGACGCGTGGGGCAAGTGCTGTTAGCGAGCACCTATGAAGGTCGGCACGACACACGACCAGGGGTGGGTGGCCATCACCACGCCCGGCCGCCTTTGTCTCCCCAGTGGCGATGTTTACACACCGCACCAGGTACTCATTTGAGGCTGAGTCTACCTAGAGGAGGCCCAGGACTGGTTCAGATAATCGTCACTGATGTTCGGGAATCGAACTCGGGTCGCCATAGTCGTAGCGTAGCGCGCTAACCACTACACCACTGCTCCCCCCCCCCCCCACACACACACACGCACTGGTGTACACGTAACATACCACAGTACCTCCTCGAGATGTTGCTCACTTATTTTTTAAATATATAAAACATTCCTCCCGGAGTCTTGCCGAGTTAACCAAATCGCTGGACACATTCGCCCGTCACGTGACAACTCGATTCGACTGGCCTCCGTCGCTGGGTGGTGGAGGGCCGCCGTTTGAACGGCGTGGCATTTTAGCCACGTCCACCATCGGTGTCACCCGAAGGGAACTTGAGTCTGCATCGTAATATCGGTGGTGGGGTAGCCTACGTAGAGAATTCACACCCCTA